AAAATCAAAATTAAAAATAAAACAACCCTGATAAATAAAATTTACAAAAAGCCATAAATTCAGTAAACTGGCGAGTCACAGCTGGAAATGGAAACAAAATGATTAAGATATGACCTTCAAGATTCGAGCTTTATGCGTGAAGGATTCGAGATATATATATTCTTAATCTTTTGGCGGTCCAATAAAAAGCAAAACGAAGAATTTTGAGCAACTTTTTTCCTTTAAATGGGTGAAATCTTTTTTGTTTTTATTTTTCTGGGAAATAAGTGCTAGGGGTTTTGCAGAGACTCACCTTTTAGCTCTCATGTCACAACATCAATAACAAAAAGTGAAACCTTTACATGAAAGACTGGAGAGAGAATATGAGATTGATATACACAATCATTATATGTAGAATTATGCTGGGAGTACAGCATTATTTTTACAGGATGTCTACAGGAATTTAAAAAAGCGATGATGTGGCAGTTTCCAAAAAAAAAAAAAAATCAATTAGAAAGGAAAGCGAGGGAAAATGAAGCTTCCTCCCACAATTTCCCACACTTCCACGAGACTGTACCAAAGCTTTGATTTTGAAAGGTTGTCGGCTCCGTTTCCGGCGTACTTTCAGTTGGTAAAATTAACAGTAACCGGCTAATGCACTCCCAGACCTCCATTATCGACGTGTAAACCTTCATTTTCAACTGTTACCACCGCGTAACCTTCATTTTCAGCCAGCTCAATACCTTCATTTTGCAGTGGTTGCCGGCTCCGAATTCGGTGTACCGACCAGCTCTTCATCCCCAATGTCACCTCCGCGTAACCTTCATTTTCAGCCAGCTCAATTCCTTCATTTTGCAGTGGTTGCCGGCTCCGTATTCGATGTTCCGACCAGCTCTTCATCCCCATTTTGGGCTGGTAAACGGAAATACATCTCCGCCTCTTCATCCCGACTGCTACTGTCGAGCTGCCCTTTCTCTGGACCAGAAGTAAGCCAGCAATTAGAAGCCTTCAATTCAATGTTCTGAACACAAGGAGAAGGCCGAGTTTTAGAGGTAATATTTTCTTGCAAATTTTTCTTATGGTTGCAACTTGTTATTGGAATTTGTTGTGTTACGGTAATCTAATTTTTGTGTATAACCTGTTGATTTCCTATGGTTGCAACTCGTTTCAACTTTTTCATGGTTTCGTATATAACCTGTTCATTTCCTACCATGTAAAGGAAGTGCACAAATGTAGGAACACTAGCTTATTTATTGAGTTCACCTGTACCCCTTATCGATTACTTAGCTTATTTAATCTAGTTCAACAGTAATGCTAACCGATTACGTCATTGCAGGAATGGAAACTCCGGAAGAGGAGCATAATGATGTGTTGGTCGAATCTGAGAATGATAATGTTACGAACGATGCGAACGAAGTTGCAAATGATAGGCTGGGAGGAGACAATGTGAAAGTGCCCGAGGTGGGTATGATGTTCAATGATGAAAAAGATATTCTCGACTTCTACAAGCGTTATGCTTTTCAAGTTGGTTTTCCAGTTAGAAAACGGAACTCGAAAAAGGGGGCTGACGGAGTTATGAGATATGTAACGTTCACTTGTACCCGTGAGGGAAGAAGAAGTTATGGTTCAAGCAATTCTTTGAAGCAAAAACCAACAAGCCAAACAGATTGTAAAGCAAGGATCTCGGCATCTTTATTAAGTAATGGACAATGGAGAGTAAACACGGCCCAACTAGAGCACAACCATGAAACGAGTCCTTCGAAATCGAGGTTGTATCGATGCAATCGAGAATTGACTGCAAATGTGAAAAGAAAACTTGAAGTGAATGACATGGCAGGAATTCCATTGCATAAAAGTTACCACTCAACGGTGGTGGAAGCAGGTGGTTATGAGACTATGACTTTCATGGAGAGGGATTGTCGAAATTACATTGAACAAGTTAGACGATTACGACTCGGAGAAGGAGATGCGGCCGCAATACAATCATATTTTTCGGATATGCAAGCACGATGCTCAGGATTTTATTTCAGTATGGATTTGGACGAGGATTCCCGGCTTAAGAATGTATTTTGGGCGGACAATAGGTGTAGGGAAGCGTATAAGGAGTTCGGTGATGTTGTTACCTTTGATACAACATATCTCACCAATAAGTATGACATGCCGTTTGCCCCATTTGTTGGCGTTAATCATCATGGGCAATCGACATTGCTTGGTTGTGGGTTGGTATCTAATGAGGACACTAGTACATTTGTTTTAGTATATGATTCATGGTTTAGTATATGATTCACAGAGTGCTGAAGAATTTGAGGAAGGTTGGATAGCAATGATTAATACGTACCAGTTGTACGATAATGAATGGTTGTCGGGCTTGTTTGAAAATAGAGGTCGTTGGGTACCGTGCTTATTGAAAACCACATTTTGGGCTGGAATGTCAACAACACAACGAAGTGAGAGTATGAATGCATTCTTCGACGGATATGTGCATTCGAAGACCTCTTTAAAGCAATTTGTTGAACAATATGAAAGAGCACTTAGAAATAAAGTCGAGAAGGAGTTTCAGGCTGATTTCAAGTCATACTCGCAATTGGTACCTTGCATAACAAATTACGATATCGAAAAGCAATTTCAGAAGGTGTACACCATTGCCAAGTTCAGGGAAGTCCAAGACGAGTTCATAGTTAAGGTTTACTGTGACATCATCTCTGTTTCAGAGGGGCATTTAGGGATGATTCATGAGGTTCAAGAAGATGTCCGACTGTGTTGAGATCGTTGGTTGAAGAGGAGCTTTTCCGTTTCATTTTCGAGGGACACGTGTGACGTTGTATGCAGTTGTCACTTGTTTGAGTTTCGGGGGATACTTTGTAGGCATGCAGTCACAGTTTTGGTCCGCAACCATGTCACGTTGCTGCCTGATAAGTTTATATTGCGGAGATGGAGGCGGGATGTCACTAGAACACACACGAGGGTCGCAGTGAACTACGATGGGTTGTTGAGTACTCCTACACAGTTGAGGTACGATGATATGTGTCGGGCATTTTCGGAGGTGGCTAGCCTTGCTGCGGATGATGAAGTGCGGGTTCGTTCGATAATGGAGTGGATAAATGTTCAACAAAAGGAGCTGACGCAGCCGAAGTTAAGTTGTGGTCGGTATCCCACTCATGGCATCTTGCATGAGTCGGAATCTCTAAACAATTCCGCTGTTAACTTACTAGATCCAATATCGTCGAAGAGGAAGGGTGCGCCCAGAAAAGTTCGACGAAAAGGCCCCTTAGAGTTGTCTTCGAAGAAAACAAAGGTTTGATTCCTGTTCGCCTACTAATTGAAACGGAGTTCAATTCCAGGAAACCATCTAATTTTTGATTTACATGCAGGCAAGTTCAGCTTCCGGAAAAGGCAAACGACCAAGAGGGAGAAATATTACTGGGGAAGGGGATGTGCCTGTGCCCGAGGTTGATGCATCTCAACAATGTTCCTCGCTGACACCGATGTCCAGTTCGCAAGTCTTTTTGGTATGGCCTTTATTTGCATTGGTTTGGTATTGGTATCTATTGTTTATTGGAAATCATTTGATTGTCTTAAAAAAGATTTTTAAATTTTCTGTGATGAGTTTTGATATAAAAAATGCCATTTGAAATGTTCCTTTTATGGTTTATAGTGAGCAGCAATTCAATGAAGCTGCTGTGGATTCTAGACAAAAATCTGGGCTACGTCAATTTTTTGTATAAGATGTAAGTACATGGCTGTGTTTTGTTATTGGTCTGTCCATGAAACTTGGTTGTGTTTTGTAATTAAATGGCTGTAGAAATGACTAAGGAAGAAGAACCTGATTGCTGGATAAGTTAGTACTGAGAAGGCAGAATGCAATTCTGGAGATGATCCTGTCTCAATTTTATTATGCTTTTGCTGGAGGAGTCTCAGAGCCAAATGGATGTCTTCATATTTTTGTTCAAGATTCCATTGTAGGCAGATGTTTTTTGTCTTTAGTTTTGTGCTAATGGAAATGTAGAATTGAATTTCTGACCTTTTTTGTATCTAAGGTTCCAATGTCTTCATTTTATATCCATTCTATCAATGACATTATTTCCTACTTCTGTTGATGGAGGATGTAAATGCTGGAAGTTTAAATGGTAAGTTTTATGCTAGCAAATTGAATTT